TTTTACGAGTAAGAGTTTAAAAGCTACCATAACGAGGAAGTAATTTGGGGATAGTATTATTTTTAGCCAGTTTTAGAAGGATTTTAGGGTATTTTAGGGTATTTTTAGGTAGATTTGGGGTAGTTTGTACACTAGATTTAAGAAGGTGTATTAGAGGCTAGGGGATCTACTAACTATGTACGTACTTAGTTGGGCTGGGAGAGCCAGTCTTACACAGATATACACAATTAAGCTACCTTGAACCCATATCGATTATTACTAGTAATATCACAGTCGTACCCCGGCGTACTCCACCATCCTCCACAATCCGATGGCTCATCCCGATTCGATAATGCCATGATCCCCACACGCGCTACCCCAGATTTGCCCATCCAGTCTTCTTTTAACCGAGTTGGGATCCCCGGTCATGGTTCGGCTATCTCAACAACGTCGTTCGACAAATAGAAACGGCTCTGGATCGTTGCCAAAGGTTCCAAATTCATTTTCTGAACTGCCTGATGGAAAGGCTGAAAGGGAAACCGCTGAGATTTTCATAGAGCAGATTTTTACCTACGCTACCCTCCAAGTTTTGACATCGTCGTGGTACAATACACCCAACGCCGTCCACCCAAGTCCCAATATCCGAACCATACTCGTATTTCCAAGACCTTTCCACTCATTCAACGCCTACACAAGACCCATTTAAAACACAAAACATGAAGTCCATCAACATTCAACCACCGACCTCCATGATCCACCCCTTCCTTCCTTAAGCCCTCGCCTGAGTAGCTTGCGTAGCTCCCTGCGTCGCCTGAGTTGCCCCCAACCCCTGTTGCCCAGAGGGAACCACCTTGAAACCCTCAGACACAACTTTAGCAATCTCCTCATTCTTATGCTGCAGCAATCCCAACGCAAAAGCGACATCATTCCACTGCCTCTCCGTATCACACCTCTGCAATCTTGCCGCTAACTTCTCCGCCAGCTGCTTAGCATGCCTATCCTTCTCCACGAAGCCGAGCAGGAACTTGACCACCCTCCTGAAGCCCTCTTCTTCCAGACTGGGATCGGACGAAAGCAGGGAGAACATGTCCACGAAGTGATTGTAGACCGCATTGTCTTTGGTGGAGAGTTCGGTGAAGAACATCCTCGCCAAGTCAGCAATGCGCTTATCTCCGTCTTCGAGACACAGCGCCATTGACGCCAGTTGGCCCTTGACTTTGACCTGCCCGGCCAAAATGAGGAAGGTAAGTGTCATGAGACAGGTGCGCTTGACGGAGGGGTCGGGATCCGACAGGCGACGGTAGAGGAAGTCGGTGTTCTCGTCGATGAGGTGGTTGAAGCACACGGCCATGTCGCCAAGGGCGATTACGGCGTTGGAGCGCACGGTGGGGTCGACGGAGCGCTCCATAATGGTGATGAGAAGGGGGAGGTTGGCTTCGCAGTATTCGGACGACACGCACATGAGCTTGGCAAGACACAAGGTGGCGGCTTGTTGCAGTTCGCGGTTGCGGTAGGTGGTGTTGTTTGCGCATATTTCGGACACCATGGGCCCAAACATGGCGAGAAGGGATTGCGGCCCGTAGAGCAGTTCGCGCTCGCGAATGTGGAAGATGGCTTCGGTAAAGTCGTCTTCGGTGGTGCCGCCGATGAGGTCGAGTTCGTCTTGGTCTTCTTCGTCCTTCGTGGCTTTGGGGCCGGCTGATTTGCGGCGGTTGGTGGAAGCGGAGGCCGAAAGGGATGTGCGCTTGTTTGTGGTTCCAGCTGCCTTCTCCTTCTCTTGCTTACGGCGCTTAAAGTCCAATTCACACAGTTCCAAATGAACGATCTGCTTGATGGCTACGTGGCCGACAATAAAGAGGAGCTGGGAAAGGGCGATGGCGTGTTCTCGGTGTTGCTTCTTGGATTCAGCATCTTCTGGTTGGGTAGCGGCCGGTGGTTGGGCGGATGCTGGCTCGTCCTCGTCCATGGCGTCCGGGTTGGGCTCTTCAGCTGGCGTGGGCTCTGCGCTACCTGTTGGTGATGGTTTCTCCTCATGGGAAGCAGAACGCGACTTGGGCGAACGAGCAAAGACAGCCTTGGTCTTGCGACGGATGATCTCGGAGCACAAAACGTCGGGGTGCTTGGCAATGGCATAGATGGCGTTGATGGCCTGTTCGGCAACACCATACCATTCCTTGCTGTCTGTGGGAACCTCAGTGATTGCAGCAAGCTTGGTGAGGAGGGCATGGTCGTTTGGTAGCCGGGAGAACTTGATACCGGAATCCTTGGACTGGCGACCTGTGGGATTGATGCGGCGAAGAGCGACGCAGGTATACTTGGCCAGTTGAAGATCTGCCCGACCGTGGGCTCCGAGACCAGTACGAAGCATTGTCTCCATCTCGCCCACAACAATGTCGGGATTGGCGGTGGCCAGCATACCCAGCACAATGATGGCGCCCCGACGCTGCGTCCTTGATATCTCCCGCTTCTGCACGCCATACACTTGCCACAGCTTAGCAATGACCAAGTCCGAGATCATACCCGACTTCATCATGGTGCTAAGCAGCTGCTCCAGCGAAGTCAACTCCGCAGGAGTAGCACCAAACGTCAAACTGATCATGTTCCTTGCGATGTACGTCGCCGCATCATTGGCATTGAAGTTACCAGGCGCCTCGAAAAACAATCTCTTGTAGCACTCGATCAGATGGGTCTGCACGCCCTTGCCTTCATCACTGTTGCCCTTGGTCCAGATCAGCCTGAGCATGCGACGGATGCCGATCTTGTTCTGCTCAATGTTGTATGCGTCGCCGATCTCAAAGTAGTCCATGGCTTCAATGACCTCGCTCTTGTTTTTGGATCCGAGCAGCTGGCAGACGGTCTCGGTGGCCTCGTGGAGGACGTCGATAAACTTCAGCGCTTCGCTGTAGTAGCGCTTCGTCAGTGTGAGCTTCTCGATGGCTTCGGAGGTAGCTGCTTCTTCTTGGGCCTTGCGAATGGCTGCGACCTTTTCCTCCTCTGTCATCTCTGATGGTTGTTTCCTGGGGGATTCCATCATCTGGGTTGCATCGTCAAGGAGAGCTGGGTCTACGGAGGTGTTGCCGGCCTCGCCATCCAGTCCTGGAGCATCCACCGGTGGCTTCAAAGCGTTGAGCTCTTCTTCCACTTTGCTCAAGCGCTCTTGCCAATCCTTCCTGGCCAGCTGGGCACCATGTAGAGCCGTGAAGGGATGAGTTCTGATTAAGGTGCCGAGCAACTTGATGGCATTCCTCCTGACGTGACTGCTCTTGTCTTCGAGACTGCGGCAAGCGAGTTCCGCGGCTTTCTGTCGTCGCTTGGGAAACTTTTGCTCCAAATCGCAGAGCTTGATGTAAACCTGGATGGCCCTGACACGACAGTAAGGGTTGATGTCGAGGAATCTCTCTTCTAAGACGTCAAAGAAGGCGTTCATCTGGGTTTTGTGGTTCTCGCCTCTTTCGGCTGACTTGCTAAGGTGTATCAACATGTTTCCAAAGACTTCGATCAAAGCGCAACGTAGGGTATACGATTCGCTATCCAGCTGCTTGGCCAGCAGCGTCACCTGCTTGATGATGATTCTGGGTGCCAGCTCGGAAAGCTTGATCATGAAGGTCGAGACGGATTTGGGGCCCTTGTTGTCATTGCTGTTGAACTCCTTGTTACTGAGCTCTCGTAGGATTTCCTCCGCTAGCTGTGGGTAGTCGTATTGCTCGGCCAAGATGTGGAGAAACTCGGCCATGGGCTCAGCCAAATGCTCAAAGTAGGTCAAGTTCTGGACAATCGAGATTTGCGCGGCATAACCGTGACCGTGGTGCTTGATGGCAACACAAAGCACCTTCCAGCAGTGCATACGTATACTGGTGTTCTTGGTTCGCTGTTCGCTCTCGAGTATCATATACACGGGTCGAGTCAACAGACCAATGAAGGTGTCGCGCTCCGAAGTGGTCATGAATATCCTGGCGAGCTTCAGCCTAAGAGCCTTGACCATGGTATTAAGAGCCGTTTCGAGTTGCGCTGATGAGTCCCAGGTGCCGTCTCTCCCTGTGGGTTTCTTTGGCTTTCCGCGGCCTCTGGTTGTTACGGTATTGGAAGCCTTTTCGGCGGCCTTGGCCTCGACACCGGCGATAGTCCATTGTAGGAGGAAGGCGTAAATGTCGAGCAGCTGTTTGTGGTGGGCGAGGAGCTCTTGTTCTTCGGCTTCTAGGTCGTGATGAACAACGTCGGCTTCGGCGGCGAGTCCCGAGGTAATGAGATCGAAGATTTTGCTGAGCGCATGTGCTGATAGGAAGGATGTGTACCTAGAGATCGAAGACTGTTAGCCGCGGCCTCTTGTCTGTGGTCATGTGTTGCGATATCGAGTCCATGGTGGACCAAGTGTGGTCGCCTTTGGCACCAGGGGACACCGGGACATAGGGAAGATCAGAGAGAATGGAATCGCACTTGAGTAGAAATTGCAAGGAGTCAAAGATGTGGGCGCGCGTAATGGCGTCTGGGTTTTCTGCGACGGCGTCTACAATGGGGTTGAGGATGCTGTTGATGAGGCCGTTGTCGCCGAGGGATTCGGGCTCGTTCTCGCAGTCGACAAGAGCGCTGTCAGCTTCTGGTGTTGGAATGCTGGCAGGATCGTCCATGTAATGCTTGAGCGCATTGTTGATGTCGAAGTTTATCGAGTCCATGATGTTGGACTGGTCGCCTTGTCGGCGGGGGTATCAATCGAGGGCAGGGTATCGCGGAAGGGTCGAGAAGAGACCGGAGGCCGAAACAGAACAAGACCGAGAAGACTGAGCTGGAAGATAGGGCGGTCGGCTGCTCGCGGTAACGTCGACGGGGCGGGAGCTGGGTAGTGGTGGTGATGTATGGTGTTGCCCAGTGATGGTGTTTTGGTTAAGATCATTTGAAATGTTTCCCCTCGAATGCGACAGGATGAATTCCGCCGCGAGCAGTTAGCGCTGTGCTACAGTGGTCTCAGTGGGGTTGTTCTTCAACTGTGGGGGAGATCGGCCCTAGCAACGAGGCGGTACCTGAACTGTTTGTTGACTTTTGACGCGTGCCTGGGTGCAAGTCGCGTTTTGAATGGCCCGTGCACATGCCCCCTTCTATCGATTCCACTTGTTGTTTACCGCCAAAATAATTCCGTCACTGACATGGATTTTGACCGACACAACCACTCTTCACTTTCCTCTTCAAATTAATGGCCCTCGCGCTGGTTCTTGCTGGTCTCTCGACGCTCGAATTCGCCCTGACCACCCTCGCGCTCGGCTCCAGTGTCAGTCGCATCCTTTGCTACAAGAAGGTCCAATGGCGGCCGTTCAAGTTACCTCAACACGTCGCCAACGAGAAGAGCACTTCCGCTTACACCAAGATGCGCCCTCCACTCAGGATACCGAAATGAGCGAGGAGGCCGAGCAACATTATGGCAATCATGGCCACCATGACGCCCACGACGTGGAGGAACAGGAACACGACGAGGAGGAGCAGCAACATGCCGAAGAGGAGGTCGAAGCAAGCAGTGCTACAGAGGGCGAAGGGGAGCAACAGGAGGACCATCACGATGACGAAGACGATGACCAGGATTCGGTCTGTTCAGACAGCTCAGACGACGGCATTGTAGACCCCAACATTCAGGACGACATGGAGAAACTCCAAGACACCTTTCCAGGTTTCCGACAACAATATCGGTTGATCAAGCGCATTGGAGAAGGTTAGAAACACCAAGACCCTTTGGCACCGGCCAGAATCGCTACTGACCACTTGCTTTTCCAGGCACCTTTTCGACCGTCTACAAAGCCGAAGACCTCGTCTACGACCAGTACGACAACTCGTGGGACTACGAAAAAGAAAGTGACAAGTGGGCGCCTCCCCCTCTCAGGACATACGGACGCAACTCGAGCTCCAGTGCTACCACCCGCCCACGGCGCAAACCAAAATATGTCGCCATCAAGAAGATCTACGTTACCTCCTCTCCCACCCGTATTCTGAACGAGCTCGACTTGCTACACGACCTGCGCGGCTGCACATCAGTCTGCCCCCTGATCACCGCCTTCCGCGAAACTGACCAAGTCATCGCTATCCTCCCCTACTTCCGCCATGCCGATTTCCGCGAATACTTCCGCAAGATGACACCTACTGATATTGCGATCTACCTGCGCTCCCTCTTCACTGCTCTCGAGAGCGTCCACCGCCACAAGATCCTCCACCGCGACATCAAACCGACCAACTTTCTCTACGACCCTTCCACCAAGCGTGGCGTCCTCGTCGACTTTGGTCTTGCCGAGCGCGAAGGGTCCGAATGCAAACCATGCCTCTGCCATGAGGATCCGACCACACGGCGCAACCGCCTCCGCGCCGCCCACCTCAACTCCAGCGTTCCGCACAACGGCTACCCGAAACAAGACACCCGCCCCTCACGGCGCGCCAACCGTGCTGGCACCAGAGGCTTCCGCGCCCCCGAAGTGCTGTTCAAATGTACGGAACAAACCACCAAAATCGATATCTGGTCCGCCGGCGTGATCCTCCTCACGATCCTGTCCAAACGGTTCCCCTTCTTTAACTCAGCCGACGACGTCGAAGCCATGGTCGAGATCGCCACCATCTTCGGCATCAAGCGCATGCGGCAGGCCGGTCAGCTTCACGGGTGCATGTTTGAGACGACCATCCCGACGATTGGCACACAGGGGTTCAGTTTCGAGCGCATTATTCTCTGGAGCACGTGTCGGGATACGGGCGTCAAGATGCCCGAGGATGAGAAGTTGGCGGTGGAGTTCTTGGCTAGGTGTATGGAACTGGATCCGGCGAGGAGAATTAGTGCAGAGGATGCATTGAATCATCCCTTTCTGCAGATGGGATTAGAGAAGGAACATGGCGGAAGTCAAAGTGGCGAGGAAGAGGAAGAGGGGGAAGAGGATGAGATGGATATTTTGCGGGTTTAGTGGCCTGGGTTCATGAATTGTCTCCGGAGTATCGTATGACATGGGGCTGTCCAAGGGGGTGCGAAAGGTTAAAGGCGTTCAACTGGGAACAGTAGCATAATAGGCGCTGGGCGTTGCATGTTCATTTTGTTGTATGGTTAAAGGTCTGATGGGTTCATGGTTAGATAGGTACGCTCTTAGATACCATCTGGTCGCATTGGCGCAAGGAGATTGGTAGGCATAATGCATTAGTATTTTCATCTTGTAGCTTGTTCCTGCAAGCAGTTATCGCCGGTGACTTGATGTTGCCCCTGCGTACGCAGCACCATGAAGTCCCGTCTGCTAGTAAGTGGCACTTAACACGTGCTCACGTGACATCGCTACTCATCCCTCCCGTCACGGTCTGTTCGTCGCGTACCGCCAGCTTCATCTTCAACATCTTCTTTGTACCTACAGTCACCTCCATCATAACGTCTCGTTGCGCAGGCGCCAGATATTGCTTTGTTTTAGTATTCAGGACTGTTCCAACATCTCTCCAAGAAAACATCAACTTTTCGCCTCCGATCTCGTCTGCTCACCTACCCCACTTTTGACATCGCCGTGACTTTCTTGCCATTTTCGCCATCGACGAATTCACACATCTCACCACATCCTCCTCACCAGCGTCCAGCGCAACAACCACAAAAGCACCACAGGATGGCCTCCACACTACCAATACCCGACATCAAAGTCATAGGCCCCTCGTTTATCCAAATGGACTCTCGGAATGCCGACAAGCCACCACCAACCGACTTCAACCACCCATACACTCCCTACCCTATCCAAATAACCTTTATGCAAACTCTGTATTCTGTTCTCGATCGAACCGTTGCCGTTCCCCTCACGAACACCACCGCTCCTCCCGCCACTTTCTCATCAACCGCCGCCACCCTTATCCCCAGCAACCCCTCCCTTCCTACAACGTCCCCATCCCCACCCCCATTATTTAACCCTACCACCGCCCCTACCGTCCACATCAACAGCGCCACTGAAACGTCCCCATCCGTCACCTCTAAAACCGCTACCAGCAAAGATAAAGACAAAGGTCCCAGCAGCAGTTCCCCCAAGGGTCATGCACAAATCGCCCTCTTCGAATCCCCCACCGGCACCGGCAAGTCGTTGTCATTAATCTGCGCCTCCCTAACCTGGCTGCGTAACCACAAGCGGTTGCAATTTGAGTCTGAGATCAAGAAGATAAAGCAGCAAATGGAGGAATCGGGAGAACCGGGGTGGATGGTGGAGAGTGCTTTGAAAAGGAAACGCGAGGAGCTGGCGCAGAGGTATGAAGAGATGGAAAGGACGTTGGAGAGAATAAGGGAAAGGGAAAGGGAGATGGAGGAGGAAGGGGAGGAAGGGCAAGCAAGGGGTGGGAAGAGGAGGAAGTTGGACAGGGGAAAAGGGGATGGAGAAGAAGGGGGGAAGAAGAAGGGGAGCGGGGGGAGCGGCGGGAGTAGAGGGTTGACGGCAAGCGATGAGGATAAGGAATTTTTGATTGAGGATTGGAAAGATGAAGGGGGGATGGATGAGAATGATCCGATGGGTCAGTTAAGTAAGGAAACGAGAGAGCTCTTGGAGAAGGTGGGGATGGGGACTGCGGGAGGGAAGAAGGGAGGAGACGAGGAGCCAGTGGCTGAGGAGGGGATTAAGGTGAGTTGGATCGGATGAGGAGGTTCGCAAAAGGGACGAAGCTTACAAGATGATAGATCTTCTACACCTCGAGGACGCATTCGCAGTTGACGCAGTTTATTCAGGAGTTGAGGAGGCCGGAGTTCCCTGCTTCTGTTCCAACACCCGCTGCTCAAGAAGAACCAGCAAAAGAAATCGTGAAGCAGATTCCGCTTTCCTCACGGCAAAAACTCTGCATCAATCCCTCCGTCAACAAACTTGGCACCCTCGCCGCGATCAACGAACGGTGTCAATCCCTACAACAATCGAAAACACCCAAAGAACAACGATGTCCATACCTACCCAACGCCTCGAACCTCAAAGCCACCCACCAGTTCCGCGACACCGCTCTTGCCACGCTACCGGACATCGAAGATCTCTACCAGACCGGCAAGCAGCTACAAATCTGTCCTTACTACGCCTCCCGCTCTGCCATCCCCGGGGCTGAGGTGATCACTCTACCATACCCTCTCCTCCTACAGAAAAGCGCCCGTGAGGCGTTGGGCATCAAACTCGAAGGAAACATTGTGATTATAGACGAGGCGCACAACATTATGGACGCCGTATCTAACGTGCATGCAGCTGAGATCAAGTACACCGACCTCAAAAGAGCGAAACTGTCACTGGGTATGTATTACCAACGGTTTCAACAGAAATTAAAAGGAGAAAACAAGGTCATGATTGCTCAGCTACAAAGGGTCGTGGAAGCTTTGGGGGTATACATCAAATCAAGACTGGACAAGGCTGCTAAGGGGCTAAAGGAAGACCAGGAAGGACTCGTGGTCGATCCTAACCTTTTATTGAAGACGGGTGGCGCGGATCAGATCAACTTGTACAGGTTGATCAGGTATGTTCAGGAGAGCAAGTTGGCTTTTAAGATCGAGGGGTATGTCAGTTATTGCGAGGAAGAAAGTCGGGACACAGATGATGAGGAAGCCGAGAAGGAGATAAAGAAGAGGGAGGGCAGACCACCAGTACTCCACACTCTGTGCTCGTTCTTGACGGCGTTGACGAATCTGAGCTCGGAGGGGAAGATCTTCTATGAGAAGATACCTCCACCTAGGGGCGAAATGCAGGATATGAAGCTCAGTTACATGCTGCTCTCGCCGACACACGCCTTCTCGTCGATTGCGGAGAGCGCAAGGGCGGTTATTCTGGCTGGTGGAACGATGTCCCCTTTCGAGGACTACAAAGCACATCTGTTCCCGGACGTACCGCCAGAGAAGATCACAACACTCAGCTGCGGCCATGTCATCCCCAAAGAGAACCTCTGCGTCTGGACGCTCGGTTCCATCGCCCCCAACCCAAAAGTGGACACCGGAATCGGCGAGGACTGCTTCGACTTCACCTTTTCCAAGCGCAGCAACCCGAACATGATCAACCGCCTCGGCTTGGTGCTACTCAATCTCTGCTCTGTCGTACCGGACGGCGTCGTCGCCTTCTTCCCCTCTTACGGCTACCTGGAAGAAGTCATCAGAGTTTGGAAAACGCCCGACCAAGCCATGGGCCCCAAAACCATCTGGGAGCGACTCGAAAACAAGAAAGCCATGTTCATGGACTCCAAAACCGAGTCGAGCGAGCAGACCCTCCAAAAGTACAGCGACGTCATCCATTCCGAAGTCCGTCCCCTATCGCCGTCAGGGACTCGGGTAAAGGGCGCCATGTTGCTGTCGGTAGTAGGCGGCAAGATGTCCGAAGGCATCAACTTCTCCGACCGGCTGGGCCGGTGCGTCATCGTCATCGGCCTGCCTTATCCCAACGCTCACTCCCCCGAATGGATAGCGCGCAGGGAATACCTTGAAGCAAACTTTATCGAGCGCTATTCCGCCTCTCAGCCCACCACCACCGCACCCCCTCCCGCCCCGGTTATCCCACCCCCGTCCAACACTAACCATTCCACCAACCCTTCGTCCAGAAACAAAGATAAACACAAGCCCCCCAACATCCTCAAACTCGCCGCTCGTGCCTCCAACCTCTTCTACGAAAACGCTACGCTTCGCGCCGTCAACCAGTCGATAGGAAGAGCGATCCGGCATCAGAACGACTATGCGGCTATTGTCCTGATAGACCATAGGTATGAGAGGGAGCATGTGAGGGCGAAGTTGCCGGGGTGGATCAGAGAGGGGTGGGAGGAGACGCAGAAGCAGGCGAAGGAGGATGGGAAGGCGCTGAAGGGGTTGCAGGGGATGATGGGGAGGGTTAATTTGTTTTTTAGGGGCAAGAGTTAGGGAGATGTGGGGGGAAGTGTCGAAGGGGCCTGCGTGAGGGGCGAAGTTACCTCTAGTGCTGTGTTGAACAGACAACGCTGAGTACTTGTTGTTCTTGGGAAGGAGATGTTGTCTTGGTTGGGTGAGTCAGCTACTTCTAGGATCCAAGGAAGGCGCGTTTGAGCGTTGAGCTTGCTGGGTGGAATCGGCACTGAGATGATTGTTCCTTCCTACCTTATCTCAAGGCCACGGTATCGTCAATTGAGAGAACGTTGTGGGGTACAAAAGATGGATGATTACACTACCTACAAGTCTACCTCTACTCGTCAGGGCTCGAAGCGCCTCTGACCCTTTCGTTCCTGCTCATCCTCCCGGTCACCATCTTGTTGAGCATGATGGTTATCTTGGCATTTTCGATCCACACATGGATTGCCACTCATGTACATATATCGAGGGATTCCCCCACCCTCTCTCTTTCGTCCTCTTTCTTCTTCTTCAATCAACAAGTTCACCACCACTTTCGTTTATTCTTGTGCCCTCGTGTTTACATCCACTCCGTTCACTTCGACACATTGGACCCGAAATTGTTCCACTTCTTTGCATCTTCTTCACTACTGCGTCCACTTGTTCGCCAAAAGCATTGAGCCTTCGTTATGCCGAATACTGCATCTCGGTCCAACTTCAGTAACATTCCATCCATCTTGAACGAAAAGGCCGGGTGTGTACATTCAGACATACACCGTTCGAGCAGCTTTCCCGGTATCTCGGTCGAGTCAACCAGTCGGCTTGATACAATCTTCCCAATGATTGGACACTATCGTATCAACAGCCGGAATCTCGAAGCCATCCATCCATTCAGCCCTGCAAAATCCACGGACGTCTACATATATCTGCACAACTACCCAACGAGCCAACCTGACATTGGCGACCCCGCCTTTGATCGGTAAGGTATGTTTTGCGCCATAAAGGTGTTTCTGTGGTGTGTATTTCAACCTATGACCCCGCCCAACTTATTCTGCCCAAGCTCACTCTCTAACGTCTTGTCCAAATACAGCCTTCGTCTGCCTACACCTACCTACCTACCTACCTACCTAGATACACGATAAATCGCCCCAAGATACGCTTGAATGGAACAAGAGTCCATGGAAGCATCTCCCGCTCATGGCGACTGCCGTGTTTGTGGCAACCTTACACCCCGGGACGGCTGGTACGATCCGCCAGCGTATTTCAAAGACATGACCATGCACTGCTTGACGACGAGCGCAGATGCTGGCTGTAAATATTGCGCGATTATGCTTGGAGCCGTCAACTGGGCTTGGGATGCCTACCTTCGTGTCTGTTCTAAAGTTTCGCCAGTTTTTGTTCCAAGGATCTGTTTCTGGATAAGACCGGATCGACCGTTCACGGTTGTGGTGGATTATGATTCCCGTCATCGTGGTGTCAGCTCGTTGTGGGTGGAAACGGGAGTGGCTCTGGAGTTTTATACCCCCGGAGGCAAGTGTAATCTCTGTGAAATGTTTCCTGTTTACCCCACTTTCCTCCACGGACCTCGGCATCTGTTCAGGTTCTTTGACTCTTCTGTGCTAACTACTCTCTATGTCTACCTAGGCTTCGCTCAGTTTCACCCACGATTCAGTTACATGCCCGAGGTGCCGAAATTTCCAGCGTCGCTTGACCTCGAAAAGCTTGTGTCTATTGTCAACCCTTGGCTCAAGCAGTGCGATCGTGATCACCTTGCCTGCCAGGGAAAATCTTTCGCGGTGCCCAAAAGGCTCATTGATATATCAGGCGATATTCGGTTAGACCGTTAGTTGAACTCGAGCCACATATCGGCGGCGACAAACACCATGTCGTCAAATACGCAACTCTCAGCTATTGCTGGGGTAGCAAGGAAGCGGCTTCTTCACTGGCCAAAACCATGTCGACAAACATCCAACAACATCTTACCGCAATATCACGATATGAGCTTCCCCAGTTATTCCGCGATGCGATCGACGTGGCTCGTGCTTTGGGATGTGACTACCTCTGGATAGACTCTCTCTGCATCATACAAGACAGCCAGGAAGACTGGAAAGATCAATCAGTTCTCATGAGCGAGGTATATTCCAACGCCTATCTCAACATCGCTGCCTCAGCGTTACCCAACAGCTCAGGAACCCTCTTTCAAGATAGGGTATGTTACTTTGGGCGCAAAGTCTACTCACCCGACAAGAGGAGCACGCTGCCCATAGACACTCACACAGAGTGGGTATCTAACGATAAAGGCGTCCAGTGTCCTGTGGCGGTTCGATATTCCATGGACCGCGCTCATCGTCATCTGTGCGGAGAGGCCGAAGACAAACACGGCATAGAGGAACCACTGCTGGATCGCGCTTGGGTCTTCCAGGAGAGGATGCTTTCACGCAGAGCCATTTACATTTCTTCTTCAGAAGTTCTCTGGGAATGCCGGTCACGGTACTTCTGTGAATGTGGCGGAATCAATAACCCCATTCCAAGTGATTTCGGCAGATTCATATGGGAGTTCGGGCATCTCGGTCCTCTATGGATTTACAACGTCCCATACCATTCCCCTTCATCAAAGACAGGGAGCTTCGCGGATTTCTGCTCGTCGAAAAGGGGGTCATCAAAGGAGGCGTTGGCTTTCTGGAGAACAATGATCCAAGAATACACCTCGCTCATCTTGACCAGGGAATCTGACCGTGATGTCGCTCTGTCTGGTATAAGGCAGTCGTTCAGCACGGGAAGAGATTTCACCTATTATGCTGGCATGTGGATCCAAGATCTTCCCCAGTCACTCCTTTGGACCATAGATAATGGTGCGTCTCCCATCGAAGCTGAAGAGGGGATGGATGCCCCTTCGTGGTCATGGCTTTGGCGCAAGGACAAAGACGGACTAGAGATTCTTTCAAACAGAGTCGCTTGGGATCATTATGACCTGGAGGGTTTCGAGAAGGATTCACGAGTGTCTTTCCATGTTCCTGATGATGCCTACCGGAGATTTCATAATCAGCCACTTATACCGCCCACCCTCGGGCACTTTCCTCTACATCTCACTGCACCCTTCCTTCACGGTTCGTTAGAGCCTCCCACTTGGGATAATATGGCACTTCCTTCAATGTCCTTTGGGCCGGTGACCGACCGCATCAAAGGCTATGGGGAAAAGTTAATGATGATCCAAGTCTGGGTTGATGACTTGGATTATCGAGGCAACTGGGATATGCCAGGTCGCAGGGCCTACTGTGTGCTGTTAGGTCACGCGCCTAGACCAATGAGAAATAATTTTCACAAAACGCATGAATGCATGCTGTTGCTGGAAGAAATACCCGGCCCGGAACATGAAAGAAGATATGTCAAAACAGGATTGGTTAATTTCACGTATTCGCCGTTGCCTGAACAAAATGGGGAGGAAGATGGTTTTATCCAAAGGACCGGCCTTTTCGAGGATGCGCGGGTCAAAGAATTCATTATTGTTTAAGTTTGGCGTATAGAGCGGGAATTCTCATGAGGGCCCAAAGATGGGTTGGGATGGCAACTGTACAGTCCAATACTGGTTTGTTTGTTTGTTTGAGACCTCGGGTTAACTTCCTTAAGCGTTTTTGTGTCTAAATGATTCGTTCCGTTCTACGGTCGAGGCGTGATCTTACCTTGAATATGCTTTTTCCGAAATTCAACATGTCATATTGAATATTTGAATGTCGTTAATGGCTTTCTGAACCGTACCTAGCCATTCATTTTGTCCTTATCAAGTTTGGGACAACTCGGGATAGATCTCGTCCAGTAGGTACCAGGAGTACCAAGCTAACAAATCAGCATTAGATTGTACTTGGTAATTGTAATTCAAGGATTCAACACACCCGACTCAAGAGAGGGTAGATGACAAGTTGTTCTTTTGACTTTCAGACCTGTGTCCCCTTTCCTTGATCCATTAACACGCTGTTGTACACGTGATAGTTACTTGATACACAAATCTTTGGCGCCTCGTTGGGCTCCAACATACTTTGTTACATTACGGCTGAATGATAGACTGGAGGTTAAAAGGATGCAGGAGTTTCAGGCAGTTAGACCAAGCTGTGAGAATTTTTGGCTAGCGCTAAGTTAGTGACAACCTGAAGGCGAACTTTATGGCTATAGAAGGAGGAGGACGCTGATCGCTAACAGCTTTCAAGGAGAGCACGCAAAGATGGTAGAAAACACCATGGAAGTTGTTCACGGCAGCCCTGCTATTGACGACGATGCAAAGGTCTACCTAGTTACTCGTCGAACAGACATCCGAGCTGTTGGTATCAATGTTCACTTCTGTCCCATGAGGGATGGAAGTTGGGCACATACCTGTCAAAGGAATGAGCATCACATAAACCTCGCAACCTGTCATCACCTCAACACCTTGCTTGCTTGCTCGTCTAAGTCTATCCTCATCCTTCATTTTGAACCAGGCAAGTATCTACAACCCCAACCAACGACCAAACCCGGGAGTCCTGTGTTCCTCCCACACCCACATCCTCGACACTTCTTCCGAGTGCACATCTAATCCTTGATGATCTTCCCAGGAGTAATAGCAAAGGTAGGACGGACATATCTGTCCGCGTGGTAAACCTTGACGGCCTTGTCTCCGAGCAGCTCCTTCTCGCGCTGGACGTCGGCCAAGTGGCGACGGACGAGATCGCGGTCCTCTTCGGCTTGGAGGGCGGGGATCAAGTGGATGCGGGACCACATCTTTTCGCGGGCGAGTTCTCTGGAGTGGTTGGGTTAGCTTGCTGAACTATAAGTGAAGACGGAGAGGAATGATTGAAATATGCGGAGGAGAGAAGGAGAGACAGTAGTAGGGGGGAATGACTGGCCATGGAGAGCAGATATAGGAGGAGATGGTGTTAACCGTAGGAAGGGAGAAAGTACCTTTGCTCACGGATACCGTGGAAGAGATGGTACCAGCCGTAGACCATGATCAAGCCACCGAAGGCGAGCAGGGTCTTGGGCTTGAAGGCACTGGGCGGGAGGTTGCGCTGTGAAGCCAAAGTCAGCCTTAGGTTCTTCTAATTCCACGAAACAAAACAACTTGTAGACACCTCTGCGCGGAGGCGGTGCTTGGACGAAACGAATGGCAACGCTGAGTACGAGGATGAGGACGAGGCTGAGGAGGCCTCTGGCGTCGGCTTTCCAGCGCAGGCACGTCTGTGACCCCTCGCACCACGAAGCCTTCTGGTTACGACGGTATGATGCCCATAAGGACGCAGTTGTAATCATGGACACCTTGATCGTATATAGCATGCCGGATGTTGTTGTTGACGACCTCGAACTTCCCGGGCAGCTCCATGTTCTTGTCCCCGGTCCCCACAGCGTAACCCACTTCCCCGGATTCCAGGAACAGTCGAAGGCCATGCATCCTGGTCGGGGAGGACTCCATCTTCGACGTCCGATAGTGCGACTCCGAGTATGCTGCGATATTCGTCCCCCTTCAGAGACGGTGATTTTGTACTGATCTTCTATGGCCTATCCATCGTATTCTTGTTTGTCGGCGTAGGTCGCTGTGCTGTTCTTCGACTCGAGTCCAGTGGCCCTGGGAGGACATGACTCGAGCAGCACTCCACCGGTTGTTGTCCACCAGCTTCTCAGCGTTATCTTTCCTTCTGGTGCTCTTCCTTTGCAACTCTCCTTCTTATTCCTCCCTTCTGTTTCGTTCTCTTCCTCTTCCCTTCCTCCACGCCTTTTTTCCCTCTCCCGAATCTGTTGGGAGTTGTCGATTGTACCTCGTCCGTCGCATCGCGCCTCGTCCATCGCAGCTGGCAGAGAGAGCAAGAAAAGAGCAAACCCACCTTGTACTGGACGGCATCATAGCCGCCAGCGGGGGGCATATCCTGAGGCATGTTGGGCTATTTGTGTGGTTCGAGAGTCCTGTGTTCCTCTTGTTCGTTCGCTTCGCGCTTCGGTCGCTTGCGCCCCGGTCGATTGGTTTTTTGCGTTTGATCAAACAATCAATCGCTTCGCTCGGTCGGTCGGTGGGAGTCGTTGAGGGGACTGGAGTCGCGCGGAGCTCTGGAGAGGAGAGTTGAAGAAGTGACGTGCCAGACTTTTGAAGGTCGATTCGCTTGCGACGGACGAATCAACTTGACTTCAATTGGCAGCCCTGTTGCCGGGGGAGGTGGTAGCGAGCTCTACGAGCCTGGAGCTTGGGAGGGGACGGCGGCTGCTTGGTTGAGTGATTACGTAAGGCAATAGCTCGCTAACAGATAACAATGCTTGGTGCACTCCCGGATGTTAGCGTAATACCTCAAGTTCATCACCAGCGAGAATCAAGCCTCGGGATCACCAACGGGCACATTCAATAGCAACAGAAGATCCAAATCATGAGTGCAAGCGATAGATGCTACATAACGCCTGATGAATGCACACCACAACCTGGCCTCATTTACACCTTCCACACTGATCAAGTAACTACAGGTTGACACCTTACAGAACAATACACATGCTGTACGTATTCCTATGATTATCAACTCTTGTATCAATTTCAGATCTGTCAATCCCGACCGGCTCCTAGCCATTCTCACTGACGCCTCCATTCCCATTTCCATCCCCGTTCACTTGTTGCCCTTGTACCTCGTCCCCATCCCCATCATCCATCGCCAGGAAATCCGCCTCCAAGGCCTCCTCATCCAGCTCCTCGAATTCCTTGTCCAGGTCATCCGCATCCTGAGCATCCTGGGCCGCTTGCGCTTCCACCTCGGCAGCAGCAGCGGCAGCGGCCTCGGCAGCCTCGGCCACGGCGGCACTTGTAGCCTCAACGTCCTCATCTTTCAGCTCGTTTCTTAGCAAGGAGGGACCGGGACCGACGAGGGATTTCCGGCGTTTGTTACTTTCTTCTTCTTCCTCGTCGTCTGCTTTGCGTTTTGTGGGGGCGGCTAGTACTTGTTCGTATGACGAGGTTGTTGTACTAGTATTTGCTGTTGCCTGGACATCTCCGTCATCGTCTGCGTTGTCGTTATCTTCACCATCATCATCATCCTTGCCGTCCTCCTCCTCGTCGTCGTCGTCCGAACCAGATTCAAGGAATTCCGCCAACTCTTCATCCGCGCTACCCCAATTGAACGTCTTCAACCCATCAATAGGGCTTAATTGCCCATCTTCATCCACGGGCTTCAACGCCTCGAGCTCCTCATCCATATCCTCATCCTCGTCTTCATCGTCTCCACCCGAATCTGAGTCGTCCTCGTCCTCGTCCTCGTTGGTAGCGGCGGTGGCGAAGCGGACCCTCGGCGGCGACTTCAACCGCAGAATCCTCTTTTTCCCCGGCGGCGTGTCCGTATCATCGGCATCGCTAACCGTCTCTGTCGCCTCGGCATCCTGAACCTTCTCGTTCAACTTCTTTTGCGCATCCTCCAATCCTTCGATGAGGTAAGGCCCCTCCTCCACCACCCTCCACTCTGAGAAACACGCTGCCAGCCAGTCCTGGTTGACGATCTTGATTTTGGGCAGGAAGCGTATCGCCTGTCTGACCTTCTTTGTCCGTGGCCTCTGGGAACTAACTACCAAATGCGTCACGTCTCGTGTCACGGAGCTGCGCAACTCGGCTCCAAAGCTGGCAACTTGCAGCCCGATCTCGGAGCGGTAGACGTCCATCCCTATCGGAACGATTCCGGAGAGGACAATTTTACATCCGCTGAGCGCTTGAGATTTAAGCGTGGTGAGGATGGAGCCTACGTCCGGGATGGATTGAGTGTCGAGCGAGGATGGGGAGGACGAGGGTTGGGAAAGGCGGTTCTGCTCATAAGCTTGGAAAAAGGATTTGTGGAGGGCTGTGAGGTGGTCCTCGAGGAAGGCGAGTTCCCGGTCGTCGTCTTGCAGAACCTGGTGCCGGTGGTAAGGGGGTGGAGGAGTGGTGGACTCGGTGTTGCCGTTTTCTGGGGTGGCGGATGCCCTCTCGGCCTCTTCGTCTTGTTTATCTTGCTGCTCCTGCAGCGCCTGCAGGGGCCTGTCTTTGATCTGCTTCTCTAGCGTCTTCTCTTGCTCTTCGAGGGCTTTCTCCAGCGGCGGCTCTTCCGTGGTGCTGTCCTCCTTGTCGGGAGATGGCGCTGGCGCGATGCGCGCCAAACCACCATTAGTGGTCGCCGCACTCGGAGTAAGCAGACCCTGCTGCTTCGGCAGAAATCCAGAGTTGATATCACCGATTCCCTTAAAGAAGTCATACGGCGAGACCTTGATCAGATTGGGCCTATTGCGCGGCCACACGTCGGCTCGATCATCAATGATCACCACCATCTTGGTGCTGACGGGGAACAACCGCTGCAGACTCTTGGCGTACATGTTGCCGTTCTCGTCACGGCTGATGACCCGGTTGCCGAACAGCTTCTTGTCGGGGTCGACGATGCGTGCCACATTCTGGGCGTAGGCACGAGTGCCCATGGTGTAGACGTGGAGCTCGTACATGGTCGAGATCTTCTTGAGAAAGTCCTCGAGGCCTGGCCGCATCTTGATGTAGTACCAGCAGTTGTTGGCGACGCCGCGGGGGCCATCGTCAAGCTGGAAGGACTTGACATTACGTACGGACGGGTAGTTGGGGTTGGACGGGTCCTTCTGCCACTCGCCAACGGTCGGGTCGATGCAAGCGTGAATGATGGTCTGGTCCAGATCGACGACCAAGCTTAGCTTGCGGTGCTGGAGCAGACGGCGCTGGAGGGCGTTCTCGGTCTTTTGGGCTTGCGTCTCGCTGACGGTGAGATGTGTCTGGTCGTGCACCATGTTGATGGGGGCGCGGTCCATGTCGCGGGACTCGGCGGCCCAGTTGACCTCGGTCATGTCCTTGCCACAGATGGCGCAGAGACCGCCGAATTGGACATCATGGGAGCACGACTCCTTGACTACCATGCAATCTTGATCCCTGAGGATTTCTTGGCCGACCCGGATCTTCCATGATTTGAGCTCGCCGTCCGAGGGCGAACTCCAGTCGGCGTAGGTGGTTTCTTCCTTTTCCCATGTCTCGCCGCGGATGGTGTCGCCGACGGTGCGCGTCCATTTGAACGAGTACTGGAAGAGCGCTTCCTTCTTCTTGATGGGCTGGCTGGGTTCTTTGTAGAGCTTGGTGATTGTGATGGGGTACCGGAGCCGGCTGCCCAGCTGGATTGTTTTGACCATTGTCGCGAATCTTGGTATCGGTCCAAGTGGTCGGTCGGAGGATTGTGTGAAGGCGGTAACTCGTAACTCAACTAGGACGAGTGGTTGTTAGCATCAATTCATCCGGCGCATCCATGGCAAGGTGACGCGCCACCGAGAATCGCTCATTGTCCATCCACTTACAGCGGGGCTCCCTGAGGAGATAAAAGTAGATGAGTGTCTGGTCGGACGAGTAAACCCATCGCGCAACAAGCGCGTGCAGTTTTCGGTGTTATTGAAGGGTTTGGTGGTGGGTTGTCGTATGGCGCCGGTGATGTTTTGTTCTTCGCGGCGAATCGCGACCCGACTTTGTCTGAACTGAAGATGGAACGCTGAAGTTTAGTAGTGTGACCACTGGACGATCGACCTGGAACTGGACCTCTGAAGCTGCAGATTCAGAGTGGGGAATATGTCTTGATACGGTCTAGCGCAGGAAGCTTTGCGGCACTTGTGGGGCGGAATGGGTGGTCAAAGCTCTCAAAGGTACTGTTCTCGATGTACCTGTACAACAACCACAGCGTTGACTTGGAACTGGATGAAATTCTAGGCTGCAATCCGATATTGAGTCAACCTGCCATTCAATGTAAGAAACGATCATCTTCAATCTGATAAATCATCTAGAGCAAGTGACTAACAAGTGATGTAATGTGCCCGTAACCCTGTGCCACGGGATGTCTTGGTCGAGAGTTCTGTGCGTGTATTGCGTGTGTCCAGTCGGGCGAGCTTGACTTGAGTGAAGCAATGAAACTCGAGGCTCTCTTGAAGGTGGGGGAGCTTTCCCTTTTGTACCTCTGGGGGCTGGTTTTGGGGAATTTCTCCAACTCCCTTGTCCCATCTGTGCTTCTCTGATCAGTGTCGCGGGATGTAGAGGTACAGATACATAGCAAGGCATTGACTGAGGAGACCGTTTGCGGGGTTGATACACGGACGTGCTGTGGCGTGAGGGCGTCTTACTCGTGGATAGTGGCAGTCCTCATCACTTCAAGACCTTTCGGATCATAAGTCCTCCAGGTATCATCTTGAAGAATCTGACAACAAGAAAAGGTCAGCGTATGGTGTTCAAGCTGACCCCGACATCTCGTCGAAAAGGTCCCGTGTGATAACTTCTCGGTTCGGAAACGTGGCGTTTCTTCTTTATGTGTAAATGTTCTTTATCTTGAACAAACCACGACCATCTTTGTGTCCGTTCACTTGGCTTTTGCGACCTCAACGCCTGCGGCTTGAACCCGGAATTGGCACAATGCTGCGAGTGAGGAAGGAGAAAAGTCACCAAGGTTAGGTGTATGGTGTGTTTCATTAACGAATAATATCTATTATTGATAGGATAACCAAGTAAAACCCATTCCTACTACCGTATTCTAGGAGTGCGAGTGCCTGTAAGAAGTATAATCCAAAGTAGGAGAAGTGAGCAAGAAGTCCTCCATCCAAGCGGTGTTATGAAAACAACCGTGTAGTACCAATCCAATCATGGCCACCGTGAAGAGTGAAATCTTCCAGTGCCTTGTACCATTACTCCAGCACGCCAGCCGTGGCACGAGCCAATGCCTCTGTCCGTTAGTCGTCCTTCTTGAAAGATTAATAGGAAAGCAAACACCAAGGAGACATCCCAGCTATGTCCCGTGATCCATAGCGACTATCCCAACCCAATCACCACCCGGGCGTTCTCTAAACATACTTCACGCCGCCTGTTCCCCTCTTAGCGCCCGGGCTAGTAGGCGGAGGACTCAACACCCGGCTTCCCAAAGTTGGTTCCTTCCCGACTTTCACACCCCTCAAATTTGCAACAGTCTGACTCAACAGATCACTTCTCGACATGGACATCGACCCTGTCATATCATCCTCGTTCCCTCCAACAAAGGTCCAGCTCTCTTCCTCTTCATCGTCCGCGTCAATGTCGTCCTCTTCGGCTTCCTGATCTTGGTCATCCGCAGGAGCGTTGGGCTTGGCGCCAGGTGTGGGCGTAGCAACGCTATTCCTCCTCGACTGATGCTTCTGCCTCTTCAAGGTGATCAAGTTCCTGGCGTAGTCCAAGTCGCGATAGATGGCCTGGATAGCGGTATCCACACCGTTCTCAGCGCGGATTTGGCCTCCCAGTACCTCGGCCCTCGTCTGCATTCTGCTACTATGCGTCGCTTCCCACAGCGCCCTCGCAAAGCTCTGGACTCCCCACTTCTTCAGATATATCCCGACCCCAAGATCCTCGACTCTTCCCGCAAAGAAGAACTGATCGCCGAAGAAGGGGCGAATGATAGTCGGGATACCAGCCCGCAAGCTGGCGCCAGTAGTCCCGGAGCCGCCGTGGTGCGCAGCGGCATCGACTTGTTGGAACAGCCAGTCGTGTGGGGCGGACTGGATCTGTATGATTTCTGGAGGGAGAGTTGGGTCTGCCACATTCGGCTTCTCAACGCCGTCGACTGCTGCTGAGCGGTCGGACCAACCTTTCGAGAGAATGCAGCGAACGTCGGCTCTCAAGACGGCGTCAATAATCTCCTGCGTCATCTTGGCCGGATCCGAAACAATAATGCTTCCAAATCCGATATAAACCAGCTTCTTCTCGTCTGCCCTTGCCTTGGCAATGAAATCCGTCAACTCCTTGGGCGGCTGCCACTTGTCGCCTCCTTCGTCGAGGAACCAGTACCCAGTGACGCGGATCCAATCGCTGTAATCGATGGGAGGAGGTACCACAGACGGGGAAAAGTTGTAGAGGAAGGGAACCTTGTTCGGCTGCAACTTCTCGAGGCTCGTGTTGGGCAAACCGAGGTACTTGTTCCTCCACCGATTTACCTGATGCGCGGTAGCCTTCCAGAATACATTATCGAACATGACGTAGGTAATGTAATTATACGCGCCGCCCATCTTCTGCCCCGGCATTATGAAGGCATGAGGATAGGCGCGCGTGCGGGTCCACGGCATGGTAAAGGCGCGGAAGTAGGGAATCCCAAGCGCTTCGGCGATGTGGATGCCTGCCATGGCGGAGGGGGACTCGATGAGCAGGTCGCTACCTTGGCAGGCTTCCCAGGCCGAGGTGAGCAGCTCGTCGAGCCAGCCGCGGAACTTGGAGTTGGCTTCGCGCAGGAAGGCGTAGGTGAACGTGCCGTTTTCGATGCAGATGCGCATGAGTTCGGAAGGGTCACCCTCAACGGGACCGAATTCGATCCCGTGGCTTTCGATCCAGTCTTTGAACTCCCGGTGTGTGACGATCTTAGGGTGGTGGCCTTCTTCGAGTAGCCTCTTGCAGAGCGCGATGTAAGGCTGGACGTCCCCGCGCGACCCGATGGTCAAACAGGTGATGCGCATGGGCTCGCTGGGCTTGAAGTTTAGGAACGAAGCCTTGGGGTCATCGAACAATATCGTTGGGGCATCAGATACCCCAGATGCCTGTCGAGGAAGCTCGATTTCGTGATCAGGGAATTCTTCGTTTCTTGCCTGGTTGAGTGCATCCCTCTCAGCTTCCGCTGCTTGTGCTTCCTCCGCCTCTTGCGACTCGGCCAGGTATCTCGCTGCATCCAAGCTCTGGATGATCGTAATAGCACAATCATCCCGGTTCTCCGCCTTGGCAAACTCAAAGAAGATCTCCTCATGGCCACGGATGACAACGACCAAGCCAGAGTACCCGAACCGGAACCCCTTTTCTTTGTCGACGGTCTCAATATCCTTCAAAGGCAGGATGAGCTTCGTCCGGGTGCCAGGTAGCAAACTGCGGAAGCAGAAGTGGCGGTTGCTGATATAAATCTTGCCATAAAGCGGCAAAACCCTGACGATGAACCCAAAGTACGCAGCCTGCAACCTCTCCGTCTCCGGCAACGCAAAGTGCGCCTGGAAACGGGCTTCGGACAGAGCTCTCTCCTCGGGGTCATCCTCGACATCCTCCTCTTCGGTCCTTCCCAGAGCAGGTTGATCGTAGTGCTTCTTGCCACCCTTCCACATACCAGATACCTTCTCGACGTATCCCATAGACTCTGTCGCTAGAAGGTTGCTCATGCGCCTAGACTGCCGGTCCAAGTAGCCCATAAATGCGTTGGCCCTCTGCAATGGGTAATTGCCCATCGTCGCGATGCTTTGCAGCGTGGGTGTTGATGGACCACCTTCTGCTTCTGCCGTGTGGTCACCAATCTGGCCCGTGGTTGCTGCATGATGAAGTCCTTGAAGCCGGACCAAGCCCGCGGTGTGTTGACGCACAATCGGCGGTGCCGCGACCCCTTCACCCTCTGTTGCCGCGCGCGTAGCCGATGCCGACCTACGGAAAATTGGGCTGTGAAAAACATCGCTTCCTCTTAGAATCTGGCTGGCCGATTGATCCTCGCTGCTTCCAGAGGTCACCAAGGCCGATAGACTCGCCTGACTAGGGTCGTCGAAGCTCTGGGCGTACGAATCGGTACTCGCATGTGGCTCGTGGCGGGGTTTGCTAAACGATCTCCGGCCGTCGCCATGAAGGCTGCGGGGAGGTGATCCTGGGTAACCTGCGGTGCCTGGGCTGGCGTCGAAACTCCGTCGACTGAAAGGTCGAGTGGCATCGAAGCTGCTCCTGAAGTAATCACCGCTAGCACGAGAACTGGGGGAGGCGATCTGGATGGGCGAGACCGGGGAAAGTGTAGCTTTGACTCCTTCGGTGAACGTGCGAGTTGGTGGGCTGCCGAGATTGTCACCATTCGCCCCGTCTCCTCCCATTCCCTTAGGGGCGTCGTTCGCCCCAGAATCTTCCGGCGAGGAATCCTCTACGAGGACCTTGAGAACCTGGATGGCCTTCTTGCCAAAGCTGAAGAAGGAAAAGAAGTACTGGTACTTGTTAGCATGTGCACAAACGAGAGACCAGACACTGGTGTCTTACCTCGTCGATAGCATACGTCTCATCATTGTCGATGACGCGAATCTTGCAAGTATCTGCAAACTCCACCATCTGGGTTTCCTCGATGTCAAGAATATTCTTGATAGGAATGGAAATCTTGACGCTGTCTCCATCATTGTGCGAGCGGAAGATGACTCGTTGTAGGCTCTTAACCCATTCCTTTGCACTTTGAGCGCTGTCGGCCTTGAAGTGGTATGTTCGATGGTGCGTGGTGACGGAGAAGTAGTTGCCTTCTTTCTCCTTGTCGTTGACGCTGGCCGAAATGCCGTATCGCAAGTCGATCTGGCCCGCGGGAAAGTAGTGATCCTTGGGGTCCTGATAGTAGGAGAGGATATCTCCCTTTAGACGGAACCAATAGCGGTTGTACTTGGGATTTCGTTTGCCGCTTTTCGACAGGTACCCGGACTTTGCGATCTCGTGCTGTTACAGACAACGTTAGCGACTGGCATTCGCCCGTTTGATGGTTGAACAACGACTTACGGCCTTTTTGGGTAGGTGCGCATAGAAGGCGATATGGTTCGCCGTGATGTACATGTAGCCCTGGAGGAGAACATGTTGTAGCAGCCAGCAAGGGTACTCTTCAATCACCTCCTCGGCGGTGTCAAACTCGAAGATATCCTTCAATTTTTTGGCCAGCTGTCCAGTTCCGCCGGCGTCATCACGACGATGTTCTCCCGACAATCTGTCAAGATCAAAACTGGGTCGGGCTGCCATTTCGGCCCGTGCCTCGAGCATTCTGCTCATGAGAGGCGCCCCGTTCCCTTCTGCTCGGACGATCTCTATTGGTGGCGCAAGGCCGGGAGCCTTGTTTTCGTCTTCGTTTGGTGGGGGAAGAGGAGAAGATGGGTCGGGATCTTCTTCTTCTTCGATCTTGTTATCCGCCATCGCTGTGCCCTTGTGCTGTTTTGACTTTTTGGACTTGTGGGAACTTGAGAGCCGAGAGAGACCGGGAACCGATTGTAGAAGCTTGTGTCCAGAAAGCCGTCGGCGGTGGGTGTTGCTTGGTCCTGCATCTGCTGTGGCACTTGCAGGTGGCTTGTTGAAGACAACAATCTGGCTTAACGACTTTCCGGTGCCGACAGTTTCGCGATTGCGTGCTGTGCCTTTAATGCCCGGGCCAGCAATGGTCATGGCCATGTGATTCGGCACATCATCTTCGTCTTCTGAACTTTGGCCTTCAAATCGGTCGTGGAAATCTACAGTGCTTCCAGCAGCAGCGATTAGACCAAATATGCTCTGGTTCATGTTCATGAACATTCCGCCCTGGGGCTGCAAGACATCCTCCTCATTGTCCTCTTCTTTCCCAGTGTCTTTCAGGCGGTCGGGGAGCTCCATAGTGGGAGAGTGTGGCTGGTTACTGTCGCCGCGTAACCTTTGCAATTTCCTGGACATGCGCTGGGCCGCCTCTCGGTGACTTGGGCGCTTCGTAAGTGCAGCTTGACGTGCAGGACCAGGGCCGGCTTGGGCTTGTGCTTCAGACGGGTTCGCACGAGGTTGCGACGAGGAGGGTTCGGTGTTTGACTGTGACTGGGAATTCGAATTCGGAAGGGAATCGAGTATTGGGCCCGATGACGTTGGTTGGGAAGACGCCATTGCGGATTAGTCTAGGAGGATCAAGAGTGAAATGGATGATTAGGCGTCGTAATAATGGGGATAGCCTGACTCGTAGAACTGAGGAAGAAGAAGAGGTAAGCATAAGTGGACGTCCGCAAAGCACAGGAAGAAGTGGACTGCAGGCAGGCAGGCAGCGGAGTGAGTAGACCAGGCAGAGGTAGGTACCCTACATACAATCAGACAAACAAGCGAAGAGACAGTTGTAAGCGGCAACACAACACGGCCGGGGCTGTCTGGTGCAGATTAGGATAGCCGACGCCCGACTGACGAGATGGGAGCGGGCTTGGGAAAGGTGACGAGGGTATCTAGGTAGGTTGGTAGATGGGTGGTTTCGATGAGCGAATGGATAGGTGGTCGGAGGGATGTTTCGAACCCGGTGAAGCCAACCAAACCAAAGAGAAAGATCGAGTCGAGTCAACAACAACAATAACAACGGAGGTGGTTAGGCTCCCGTCGTCTCCAGTGTTAGAGTGCTTGTTGATCTCTGGTTGTTCATGCCGCTCTGGACGACTATGATTGTGCCAGCCACTAACAACCTGAATCGTGTCGGTCACAATCAGCAGCACACGGTCTGAAGCCTGACTGGATAGGCAGAGACGGGAGGCAGACTGCCAGGCAGTGCAACCTCGACTCTGATATGGGCCGGTACTTCTTGTCGCGGTACTCGGTTGCGCGTGGGAGTGCCGATGTCTACAGGCGCTCGGCGTATCGCTCTATCAAATGTCCAAAGAAGTGATGAAAGGAACTGAACAACGACTGGGAGAATGAGCGAGGCGGGAGGGCGGGCGGTCGAGAACAGGAGCCCGAGCAGCAGCTGGCCAGGAAGGTGTCTGGTGGAGCCCCACTGCCTGACGTTGTTCAGGGGAGCCAACTCAAGCCGGGGAAGGCTCCAGAAAAGTGGGTCATCTAGAGAGCGATAAGATACGGATGGGTACCTTGATAGTCACCCTGGCTTCTTTCCAGCGATAGTGCGCCGCCTCCAACTCTTGGAGAACTCTAACAGACATTGTGTATCACCGGATGCTGGAATGTCTCCTTCTGGCATCACCTGCTCTGGACGGGTGACAGATGACACCATGGGAGACTTGCTTTTTCATCTTTCCGAGTTCGAGTCGGCCATTCGTGAACCCCGAGAAAACCGACGATTACCAGGCTGCGCAAAAGATCCAAACCTACCTGCCTATGATCCAAAAGCGACAAGCTTATCTCTCCCACTCCCTGGATGACAACCCAACGAGGTCCGGTCAACAGGTTAGCAACAGGCTGGCCAACAAGGTGCAAGCCAACACCATTGTAGTAAGACGTTACAACACCCAAAGCCATGTTGTGAGACGTAAGTCTATTGAAGGTCTGCTGCTACAATACCTGATATGACCAAGTGAGTGGCACATAGTCTGGTGTTGTCATGTCTTGTGGTTGCAACCATTATCGTCAGAAGGCCTGTTGTCCCTGCCGGAGCATCATACCGATCCTGGGTTTGGCTTCATTGGAGGCTTGTTTCGAGGCGACCAATTGACACCCAAACCCAACTGAAAGCATCTAGTTTCTGCTAGAATATGGGCTTGCTATCTGGGAGACCCGCTCTCTTGTGTGTTGCTGGCGACGTTAAATTGAGAGGTCGGCAACACTGTTGTGCATCTTCATTGCGACCCACCCATCGTATTTATTATTTGCATGTGATCCCGAGTCCCTGGGCTACTTGGTTGGAACAAGAGACTTGGGAACAGTCCATGACCACTCACATTCGCGGGACTTCACCAAGCACAAGGGACCTGGAGACCTCTTATTCAGGTACACCTGAGATCTCACCGGCCGAGTAATTGCGCTACCAATCATGTTTACCACTCGCGTGACACCAAGCAAGACATCGGTGGCTTCAAATGAACTGTCCAACCCAGCTTGAGCAAAACAAATAATCATTCAGGAGCATATAATCCCTTCGCATTGAGATCATTGCAATAAATGCCATGGTAAGCCGAAATCCAAACACTCGGTTATAGTTTCGAGTCTATCGACGCCGCCATCAAGTCATCCAAACATGGTATCATCGCAGAACACCAAGTACAACAAACATCCAAAAACAACACTAACAACACCCAGCTACCCAAAAAACATAAGCATCACCACCACTACATCCACAAACACAACTTCCCACTCGCCGTTCCGCCGGCCACCCAGTCCTTAGTCGGATGAAAGTGTGCAACCGCCGGCACCGCCGTGATCCCATCGCCTCCCAGCTGCGCCAACTGCTCTCCGTCCTCCGCATAAACGTCCACGAACCGATTCATGTTTCCAATTACAAACTTCTGCCACCCATCCTGTGGGTTCCTTTGCCACTGCGGCTTCAAAATCGTCACCCATCTTCCCGTCTGGTTGTTATGCGGTATCTGAACCGTCGGTTGCATTTCCTTTGCGGCTATGTCGTGCCCGGCTTTCCACTCGCCAGCAGAGGGGAAGCTGTAGATCTTGATGCGGTCGTCGTACGAAGAAGTGGCGATGTGTCCCGAGGAAGACCAAGACGCATGCGAAACAGAAAGACGGGATTCATGCTCCCCTAGGAGGGCAGGGTGGCGGAGGTCCCCCTTGCCACTGATCTTGCGTAGGTCCCAGATCTTGAGGGTGCGGTCGAGCGAGGCGGTCGCGACGAGGTGAGGGTGCTGAGGATGCAGGGAGAAACCGCCAATCTTTTGGTCGGTTAAGCCCCAAATTTCGGCCGAGGAAGGTTTGGTGCGCTGGTCTTGTCGGCCCAGGGAGCCTTGCAAGGTCGAGAAGATGATGGTGTTCGGGTCGGTAGTCGGGATGTCGATGGCGGAGATGGGGAGGTCGTCAGACGAAGAGGACGGGGCAAAGACCTCGGTTGAGATGCCCTTGTCTAGGTCCAATTTGCGAATCGAAGAGTCGTACGAGGCAGAGTAGATGGCATTGGAGTCGGTAGGGGAGAAGTGGAAGGAGGTGATTGTACGGGAGTGGGTTTTGAAGGCGGATATGATGGGGTCTGGGTATTCGGCATCTTCATCGTCGTCGTCGATTTCGGGCGCGGGTTGAGAAGCGTCGAACACGCCCATGGCGCCTTCTTTGTCGCCAGCGAAGATTATGGGCTTTTCTTCGGTGGGGTGGAAGCACATGGAGTAGATGCGCTGGGGAACGAGTTTGATATCTGTTGCAACAAACTTGTTAGTGAAACTTGCATCGTAGTTGGGACAGTATTTGGGGAGACGTACCATTAACTGCCCACTTCTCGTACAACTTGAGTCCGCTCATGCGCAACCGCAAGTCCTTTAACCCCTTATCCTTGGTATCTTTGACATCGTCGTCTGTAAACGTCCTCACACCAGGTTGCGCCCCTCGAACACCAAGACCCTTCAACAGCGCTAGGCCGTCGGCACTACTTTCCCACTTGCGACCCTCGACCGTGATGTCGCCGAGGTTCAAATCACCACTGACGCGCATCTTCTTGGCCTTGGCCTTTGCTGCTTCCGCCTCGGCTTCAACATCTAGTTTGCGCTTGAGAACTTCGGAATCCGCTTCGAGGCCGGCGAGGCGACTGCTCTGGCGCGTGGGACGGGCCGGTTCCTTTTTGACAGGTTCGCGCTTGACTCGGGGCGTGCTGGCGCGTTTGGGCTTGGGAGGCGCAGGCTTCGGGATAATCTTGTCTGCCGTGGTACTGATGCCGCTTAGGATGGCATTGTTGTTGGCAATGTTCTCGAGGCGCTTGCGCTCGAACGCGCTCATAACGGGTTCCTTCTTGGGAGGCATCTTGGGACTCGGGAAAATGCAACGGCCGATAGAACACGAGGAGGACGGTTTGGTGAAGACAATGGAGGATGACAAAAAGGGTCTAAAACAAGAGACAGACACCAGACGCTATCTTTATTCAAGAGTTTACGCACGGGTAGGCCAGGCAGCAACGCGAATGTGGTAAAGTGCAACAGATGGTCGCAATCAACAATGGAAATCAATTAAAAAACTAAACTGGAGGCGCGCCACCGGGTCGCGTCGACGCATGAGAAACAAATCGGCGCACGAAATCACGGGACACGCAATCGCTGTTGGACGCGGGAAGGCCTTTTAGCGTCTAGTGCACTAACGAACAGCCCTGTAATTTTGCGGAGTTAATGCTAGCAGTCCCCTGCAGTCTGGACAGCAAGGGTCTTTGGTGGGGTAGGTCCCGGCAGGCAATCTTTGATCGATTCCGAAATTTTGAATCTGAACTTTTGACTTTGGCGTTTTCCTGCCTCGTCTCCATCTATCTCCATTCTTCCCTACCTTTGCTGCCGACCACCACAATCGCGAATCGCAAGGTGCTACCCCCGTGCTGGACACGAACATCTGCAACAACGTCGAGAAACATATAATAAGAGACCACAATCGCTATATCCTAACCCGGTGAAACCGGACCACCGCCACCATGTCGTCGACAACCATGCTTCCCTTCCTCTACCAGACTAGGACGATCCAACGCCTGTCCCGCACTGGTCTCAAGACAACAGCCCTTCGCGCCTATTACAGATCCGAGTCCAACCTTGATTCTCGCTCACCTCCATCTCGTGTCCGAAGAGTAGCCCCATCGATGCTCAGCAGAGATCCTATCCCCTTCGACCTCCCAAGTCAACAATTCGAGAAGCCCAAGCGGAAATGGCAACCAGAAGACCTCGGCGAGGGACAAAAAACAACCTTGACCCCCACAGAGCGCTACGCCTTCGACACCATCTTTCAGGACATCGTCAAGAAGAACAAGACTACAGAAGACGACCCGTTGGAGATCAGCGTCAAAGACCCCGACCCCGAAGCCGCCCACAACACCGTCAAGATTCTACTCCAGGACGCCGCCGCGGCCTACACCAAGGAATGGCGACCTGTCCAGCGCCCCTTCGACCCCCTTTCACCCGTTGAACAGACACAACGCGCCGTCGACCGTGACAGCGCCCTCCTGCGTTTTCCTCCAAGTTTGCGACAGGCCGCGCGCATGGCCCTCGGTATCCTTGAAGCAGACAAGGGAACCGGGAGATCGTCGATCCTCGACAACGCCCGAACCGCCGAACAAACGCAAGAACAACTCCCCGCCGATCCCCTCAGCAAGCAAGTCGCCGAGGAGGCTATGAGACGCGAGGAACGCACCCGAGTCGAGTCCAAGATGAGAGCTGCCACCTCCGACTTCCAGCTGTGGGACATTCTGGAAGAGGAGGTCTTCTCCATGGTTAAGAAGCTGGGTATCGCCGACCGGTCCGGGGTGTCCAAGGCGCCTGTGAAGAAGACGGGACGCAAAACCAAGGAGGTGCAAGAAGATGGAGACTACGAGTACGGCTACGAGTTCGAACCAGGCCAGGAGAGAATCTCCATGCACCTCTACGGCCCTCTATACCCCGCCTACCTCCTCTACGGCCTGCGCCTCATGGACACTTCGTTCTCCCGCTCCTCGCCGTTGGCGCTGAACATCCTCCCACGCATCAAGGAGCTCGGCTTAGCCAGCTACGTCCTCGGCGCCAGCACGCCGTTTTACAACCTCCTGGTCCACATCCATTGGCACCGCTATGGCGACGCAGAGGCTGTGTTCAACCTGCTAGAGGAGATGCGTTTTGCTGGTCTGTACGCCAACGAGGACTCGCTGGCTGTTGTTCACAGCATCGAGACGCACTTCTTGAGGTCGGATAGGGGCCAGATGGGCCCGTTCATGGAGGAGTTGGTGAGCTTGCCCGAGTACGAATTTGCGATCAAGCCAAGAATTCGTCATTGGTCCACTACGATTGGTATTCACATCCAGGAGAGGCAGCGGCATCTCAAGCTTTGAGCTCCACGATGGTTGTGTGGTTTTGAAGTTGCGCAGTTGGAAGCAGCGGGCCCGGCCAGTCGCGCAGGAGTTCGAAGAATCTTCAAGCATACCCCATGTACAACAATACGATGTCCCCTATCTGGTTCCAGTAAACTTCCCTTATGCTATAAGTCCTTATTATCCCCTCCTTGGTGACACGTTAAGACTGGCTACCTATCCCAAACTTCGTTCGCAGCATGCCCCCCTTCTACCTCGTCTATTTAGTCCGCTTGTGATCACCGACCGCTGCGGAAAATATCCTGAGAGCGGCCATCCTTTCCATGGACCTGGATGGAATGCTTCCACACAGGCTGATCGGCTTCTCGACTTGTTGACCAGGAGACTTCCATGATTTCCGTGTGTATCTCCATGGTTAGCGTTTGCTTGGTCGTCACGGTTTCTCCCCAGCCGGAACCTGATCGGAGATTGCGAAGACGATTGCCAATGTTCGAGATTGCCAGCGGGTTGCGGAAATCGCCTCCACAATACACACCAATGTCGATTAGTAGTCCGGACTGGACCATATCTTTCGTATACATGGTAGCCCATATCTCGGTTTCACCATCCTCTCTGGGGGATCTACCACAAACAAGCCAGAAATAGTCGCCTTTGTTTTCCGGTCGTTCCTTCCAGTCCTTGCCCAATGGGTCATGGGTGTGCATGAGGAACTCTATCCGGACAACACCAGCGAAGTGCGGGTTGTTGTCGATTCGGAAACAGTTAGGCCCGGAAACGAAGGTGTAACAAGCGATCGCCCGTTTCTGGCACCATCATTGGACTTGTGCCACCATAATGAATGCCCAAAAAAGTTGACATCTCTACCGCGGCGTTCGTGACGGTGAACGAAGGAATGGGTACGTTTGGGTCGTCCATCAGCTCTATTGTTCCGGCTCCCGAAAAGGCTTCCGGCCTTGGGGCCAGGACACCACATAGGACATCGGATGGCGATGGTTCTTCCCACGCGAAGATGGACAAGTCGTTTATCTGCTGTAAAATGGCCTCTTGGAGTCGACGGAAAGCGCCTTGCCCTTCGCCATATATCAGAGGCATGTTCACTCCAAATATGCCCAAGAGCGAGTACGCGCGATCTTCGATACGTGTGGTGGTCCTGCCCGCGGCCCAGGACATCTTCTGTGCGACTGATATATCATCGAGAGGCCTTCGTTCCAACGCGAGAACCCGCCTGTCGATATTCGTGATGCTCTGTATGGCTTCCAGCACTTCCAAGGTGTCACACCGGAATTTCCAGTCTGTGTCATAAAACCAGACCTTTTCAGGGGCGATAAGCTCTTGAAGCGTCCAGCCACGGGTGAACCATCTGCAACGACCAAGTTGCTCTTCGGTCGGTAAATCCTCGCCTGGCTTAAGGTCCTCAAGGAATGCAATACAGACCCAGGCTTCGCGGTAGTAGGCATACATGGAGTTGATGGATTCGGTCAACTCGGCGCTACTGCTCTTGTCGATACAGCAGGTGTCAACCCAAGCATAGTCGACGTTCCTCCCCCGCGCCACCCGACATATCCCTTCGATCTTGACCCAGCCCTTCTTCCGTTTAGCAGCCTCGACGTTTGTCATATCCGAGAACGCGACTTCCTCAGCTCCCCATGTGTGAGATAGAATCAGATATCTGGGCCGCTCCCAAGGGTAGCGACTTATCATGCCGTCGAAGCGCACAAGAGCGAAATGCGAACACCGGATCAACCACATCTTCGCGAAAAGGCGGATGCCCAGTCTTTGGCTTAAAGGGAATCGTCGACAAACTTTGTTAACACGAAATATGCCGCTATTACCGCGGGTTCTGTTGACAAAAAGGGTCTGTGTCGATGGCCGTTGGGTAGCTTATGATATGGTGCTGTTACAAGGTGACATTGAAGTCAAGGAGATAAGAAGCCTGATGGGAAGAATTCCCCCGTACCATGAAGCGGGGTAACCTGATTGGGCCGATCGGATGCTCTCCAATCTCGCCGAAGACGGAGCTCTCTTCAGGTCGACAGAGGGACTATTTAGAGGTACACCAACTGCCCGTGTACCTGCAACGAAATCCTAAGCCCCCAAAACTCGACGTAGTGTCCCGTGTCAGGGAGTTTGACGGGCCATAACACTTGAACATTGGACCTTCACCCAATTACAACGATGTCATCCAACTCCGACTTTCTTACTTCCCCTCACGGCAGCTATCAAGAGGCAGCAGAAGCCCTCGCTGCTGCCCAGTCTCGATATGTCGCCAACAATCCCCTCTCCAAGAAACAACATGAACTGGCCGTTGAGTCGCTGCCAGGCGGCAACACCCGCACCTTGTTACACACTTCTCCGTTTCCACTTTGCATGAAGCATGGAAAAGGCACCTTTGTGTGGGATGAAGATGGCCACAAGTGAGTGAATTGTTACCTCTATTACCAGCGGGGCATCTGAATGACTGAATCCCCATCATCACCAGCCACCGCTAACACTTCCCACATAGATACACTGACTTTGTAGGCGAGCTCTCCGCTGGCCTCTACGGTCATTCTCACCCCGTCATCCGTACCGCCATTCTCTTTACCTTTGACGATATCGGTCTCTCCCTCGGCTCCACCACCACTTACGAAGCCCGCTACGCCTCCCTTTTGTGTCAACGCTTCAAGCTCGAGCGCGTGCGCATGGCCAACACCGGCACGGAAGCGAATCTCCATGCTCTGGCAGCTGCTAGGCACTACACGGGGAAGAGGAAGGTGGTAGTGTTCAACGGGGGGTATCATGGTGGTTGTTTCTCTTTCGGGGGAGGTAAGGCGGCGCCGAATACGGCTGATAAGGGGGATTTTGTGGTTGTGCAGAGGTACGGGGATGAGGAGGCAGCTGCTGAGGCGGAGAGGGTGATTGAGGAAACGGCGAAGGGAGGAAATCTGGCAGCGGTGTTGGTAGAGGGGTTGCAAGGTGCTGGGGGGTGCCTTCCGGGCAGCAAAGGGTTCCTGCTGGCGGTACAGGAAGCGGCTAAGAGGGCAAGTGCACTGTTTATTCTGGATGAGGTAAAGACTTCCCGGTTGGCACCAAACGGATTGGGGCAGGAGCTGGGGTTGAGCCCGGACTTGGTCACGCTGGGAAAGTACCTGGGTGGTGGATTCAGCTTTGGAGCGTTTGGAGGAAGGAAGGAGATCATGGACTCGGTCTATGACCCGAGGGTGAAGGGCAGTTTGGCCCACTCTGGCACTTTCAACAACAATACCATGACGATGTGTGCTGGGTATGCGGGCCTGAAGGAGGTGTTTACGGAGGAAGTATGTGTCGAGTTTAATAAGGTGGGGGATGACCTAAGGGAGAGGTTGAACGATGTTGCAAAGGGGACAAGATTGAGGTTTACCGGAAGGGGTTCGTTGATTGGGTTGCACTTCAGGGAGGATGGAACTTTGGAGAGCCAGGAGAGGGCGGATTTGAGGGATCTATTTTGGTTTGAGATGCTGGAGCGGGCATTTTGGATGACGAGGAGAGGGTCCATTGCCATGATGTTGGATACCCCGAAGGAGGAGCTGGATCGGTTTGTTGATGCTGTTAGCAGGTTCCTGGAGAGATATGCTGGCATTATGACGTTGTAGACGTAGTGCGTCTACGTGCTCTCTCGTTGCTTTCCACTTGGCTTTAAGACATTTCGGTGTGTTTTCCTGTACTACCAGGGATGAACATTGTGGACGTGGATCGAATATTCCGAAGTCGATTTGGCAGACTTGCCGATGGAAGTTGGAACTGAAACACTACACAGTTTGCTTGTTCCCGTATTTCGATCTTGAGCCTGGTACAGCATCCAATTGGTTTTGCTTCTTTTGCTTCCCCACGCCTTCGGATAACAGCCGGCTTTTACGGCAGTTGATCTCACTTCCCCTCACGCCCCCCCCCCCCCCTCCCCCCCCCCCGGCTGACGATAAGCCTCGGTCCAAGTCTACGCCAAGTGGTACACTATCTCCGAGTGGGTATCAACAAACGAGTTGAAGATAACATCTACTGCTGGTGCCTGTAATGTCCTCCGTCCACGATATTCATATGATTCGCGTCTCAAGGACATCACAAGGAAAAGACCAAGCAGCACAATGGCCAGCCAAGAAGATCCCGGCACCACTATCCCTCCCCACGTTCTCTCCAAGTTGAATCCGGACTTCGTCCAGTTCTTCCGGGACGTCCTGTCAAAGCGACCGCGAGATGTCTCCATCGAGGAACTCCGAGCCCATCCTGAGAAGTACCGAGCGCTAACTGCCATCGATACCTCCAAGTGCGAGCGAGTGGCAGACTACGAGGTCACGTCGGAAGATGGAGCCTCGGTTCCTGTGAGGGTCTATCATCCGGACCCAAGAAAGCATGGGGACGGACCATATCCTGTTCATATGAACCATCATGGTGGGTAAAACGAGCCGCAAGAAGGGTGTTGAATGCATGCTGACCAAGAGTTGACGGAACAGGGGGTGGGTTTGTGATTGGGGATCTTTTTACGGACGGTCAGCTCTGTCTGAGTATGCGCGAGGCGGGTGTGGTGGTTGTGGATGTGAATTATCGTCACTGTCCTGGTAAGAAATCGATGCCATCGCTCCTTCCGGAAGGCATTCGTTGACAAAAGACAGAAACAATCTTTGGCAAGGCCTTCCAAGATGCATGGGCGGCCTTGAACTGGGTGATCGACTCCTCTACCACCCTCAACATCGACCCCTCCTCCATCTCCGTAGGCGGTATCTCGGCCGGCGGGCACATCTCCTTCGTTTTGCAACACATGGCCCGCGACGCCGGTCTCCCGCTCAAGCTGTGCTTGGCCTCCGTCCCTCCCACAACTGACTGCATCAGCTACGACTCCCCTACCGACTCCCCCTATCTCTCTTTCCGCGAGTTTGCAAATGGACCTGCCCTCCCCTGGGACCGCATCAAGTACTTTGGACAGTCCGTTTTCCCGCCCGAAAAGCGGGATGAAATCCGGAAAATGTCGCCGGACTGGTGGCTAGCGCCGATCAAGGCCCCGAATTTCAAAGGGTTGTGTCCGACTTTTATCAGGACGGCGGAGTGCGATATCCTGAGGGATGAGGGGGAGGCGTATGGGCTGAAATTGGTAGAGGGAGGGAATAAAGTCACGATCAAGAGGTATCTGGGGGCGGTGCATACGATGATGTACTTGCCGTTGGAGAACGACCAGAGGAAGAGTTATGATGAGGATGCGATTAGGGCGTTGAGGGAGGCGCATGGATTGGCGAAGTGATTCCGCGTCTTGTTTTGTTTCTCCTTTTCCACATCCCGTTTTTTTTGCTTGTTCGAGGCATGTCACCACCAAACATTTGTGGGAAGTGGAAATACAGGTACTCATCATGCTCTCCCGAACTTCCTGATATCCGCATCTATTTTGAGGTTATAATCCACTATCACCGGGCAGTCGCAGGCGCTGAAAGTCTGGACCCCTTCCGTCACCTACAAAAACAGAAGGTGGTTGCGGAAGCGTCCATCCCATCTCCGTTGTTTCGGTTTCGGTCACCTTCAGGGGAAGCTCAGTTCGCTTATATCCTCATCTCAGTGGTCCAAGTGGATTTAAGATTTTTGGAGGCGCATTGGCGCAGCCGTCGGAGTTGTGACCGTCAGCGCGTCACTATTCGCATTCGTTTACAGTTGTCGAATTGGGTACTTTTCCCGTCACAGGTTCCGGTACAGGACGCCTAGGGCGGTCTCGGGGTTACGCTGTCGACGCCGTCGAAATGGCGGCCAAGAGGCCTATCATTCCTGTTCCCGATCGCTAAACCCGTCGCTTGGCGGCAACCATCGCATTCGTCGCTTTCATCGGGAGCAAATCCGGATCCCGCCGTCTCCATTCACCGGGCATCCGTGGGTGCCCCAGTGTCCGCAGGGCAACGCGGCACACCCACTTTCCGTCCCTTCACTGCAGATACCAACATGTCCAACATGTTTCAGGGTTTTTGCTGATGCGTCGCTTTCTTCGGATTGACATATGGATGACGATTCGTTTTCCCTTATAGCCACTGTGTTATAAGTATGCCTTTTTGTCAACCTGCGTTGAGAATTTCCGATCTTGCATCTTTGTTTGCGGCTCCTTGTTGTTGACCTGACAGCGGCTGTTTACTAACGGATACCGCCTGGACCCCACTGGAGCGTTAGCTGCCGAAACCGCCACGGGCAAATTCACGATTGCATCACCACCACAATCGGCTCGCTTTGTCTCATTCGTTAACCACGTGCACACAAGGGATCAAAACATTACCAGAAAATCCAGCAGCTGACGGTCTCGAGAAATTCGATATTCCAGGCCAGTATGAGTCCTCATGAGGTGAACGGCACAGTGCCGGAGAACTCGACCACCTTCCGGACACAAGCCGATGAGCACGCCGACCATGAGGCAAGCCTACAAAGTTTAAGGACCGGCAAATACGAAGATTGGCCGAACGAAGCTGCTGTAAGTCAGATACTCCTCGCAAGTCTTTCCTCCAAGAATATCTCACTAACCTTCCAACAGTTCGATGGCCTCACCGAGGAGCGAGGCCCGATCAAGATCGCCGTGACCGGCAACATCCCGACATGGGCTGCCGGCTCCCTCTACCGCACCGGTCCTGGTCTCTACAAGATCGACACGGACGCCGGCGCCACCTTCGAGATGAGCCACTGGTTCGATGGGCTGGCTCATACCCACCGCTTCGACATCATCCCGAACGAAGAAGGGTCCGTTGACGTCTTCTACTCGTCACGTCGCCAAGCTGAAGAAATGATGGAGGTCATCAAGAAGCAGGGAACCTGGCCGTATTATAGCTTCGGTCAGAAGGCGGATCCCTGCCTCGGTTTGTTCTCCAAGGCCATGGCTGCGTTCAAGGGACTGAGGGAGTCACCGGAGGAGAAGTGGCATAACAACATCAACGTCGTCGTGCACGTCAACCCTCCCGGACTTGAGGCTGCTGCCGGAAACATCGTTGGAAAGGGGAAACTGGCCGTGACGGAGAACGACCCACAGGTCCTGGGACATAGGCCTGAGTTGCCCAAGTCGATATGGATCAGCACCGACAACTGCGCCATGAAGCAGATCGACCCCAAAACTTTGGAGCCCATCGGCTGGGCGACCCAAGACGTCCTTCACCCTGAGTTGAAGGGCCCCATGTCCTGTGCTCATGCCCAAAGGGACCCTGAGACAGGTGACCTCTTCAACTACAACCTGGAACTTGGCCCGAAGCCCACCTATCGAATCTTCCGTGTCGACGCATCCAGTGGAAAGACGGAGATCCTGGCCACCATCCGCGACCCCATCGTTTCACCTGCCTACATCCATAGCTTGTTCCTCTCGCCCAGCTTCGTCGTCCTCTGTATCCCGACCTCACACTTTGGCCTCAACGGCACACAGATTCCCTGGGAACGCAACCTCCTCGATGCCATCAGGCCCTATGACCCAAGCCGAAAAACCCAATGGATCGTCATCGACAGGAAACACGGCAAAGGCGTAGTAGCCCGCTTCGAGACCGATGGCCGTTTCTTCTTCCACACTGTCAACGCCTTTGAAGAGCCCTCTTCCCAGCCCGACTCCTCCGAAATCAGCCTCTACTGCGACGTCATCGACTTTGGGTCCCACGAATTCATCCACTCCCTCTACCTCGACGTGATCCTCGACAGAGACTCCGCAGCCAAGAAGTTCTACGAAGACGAACAACGCGCCCGTAACTCCCTTGCCCACCTAACGCGCTACCACTTCACCATCAACCCCGACTCACCCTCTAACAAGCTGCCCACCACCCCAGACCCCAAGAACCATGAAGCCTTCCGCATCCCCGCCCCGCACGCTGGTGAACTCCCAACCATTAACCCCCTCTATGCCACCAAGAAGCACCGCTACGTCTACAGCCTGCCCTTCCGAGGCCGCAGTACGCTGACCGATGCCATCGTCAAGACTGATACCGATACACGGGAGGTACTCTTTTGGGACAACCCCAAGGGGCATATACCCGGTGAAGCCATCTTCATTCCGAGGCCGGTTGGAGAGGAGGAGGATGATGGGGTGTTACTGAGCTTGGTGCTGGATGGAGAAAAGGGCAAGAGCTATCTGCTTTGCTTGGATGCGAAGACGATGACAGAGATGGGGAGAGCAGAGGTAGAATTTGCGATTGCTTTGGGCTTTCATGGCGCACATGTGCCGTCGAGTAGGACAGTAACGAGGGTCGAGGGTCAGGAGTAAAGATTCTGTAGGATAGGGGTTCAGTTCCGTTGTCGAGGGCGGTTATCTTGTTTGTACTTGTGTCTGGATATAGCTTGTATGAATCATGCTGGTGGGAAGCGGAAAAGTCAAAGATCAGTTTGGTACAAGTACCTCTTTTGTCCTCCTTTCGGTTTGCTTCCAGTTTTTTGAGACTCACTGTCGTTCCTTCCGCACTCGCTGCGACTCGATTATGTCGTACACCCCTCTTGGGCTAACAGATAGGCTCCGACGGCCAAGTGGCCCACTGATATCGTGCGGGGTTGAGCCGGTAGTTCCTGCCATTTGTACCAGCGATTACCAGCAGGGAAATTTCCGAATCTTCGGCGGTCTTTCTACCCTCCATCTCATCAACGATCATTCTTCCACAGCAGCCACTTGTGACGTCCTTTCCTCGTCCCGTATACCTCTACCATCGCTGATCCAAGCCTTCGCCGGAAGTCTCTCTCTACGAGTCTCCATTCGGAGACAGACCGGAAACATGACCACCCCGGAACAAGACGGAGCCGCACGCCTTGCGGCACGGAAACCGATCCCGAAACCCGTCCCCGCCTACCTGCCTACAGCCGGATCTCCCCTTTCCGTCGACAAGAACCTCTACTCAACCATCCAACAAGCTCCTCGCGTCCTCACCGAGGAGTTCACCATTCCTATCCGCTCCGGTCGTGCCTGGACTGCCTCCGCCGGCTCCATCATCCGCATATCCACCCCCGAAGGTCCTCAAGTTGGCGACCTCAACATCTGGAATCTCCACAACCCCCGCGAACGCTTCTGGGCCTCCCGCACCAAACAGCTTCACGCATCGCACGTCTCAACCTACGACCGGCTCTGGTCCAACCTCCCCTTCATGCGGCCCATGCTGACCATCATCGCTGACACGCTGTCCTGGTATGAACAAGACGAGCATGGAGGCAGGGTGCATGACCTCTTGGGGACGAGGTGTGATCCGTACATCAATAACGTGTTGAGTGGCGGAGAGTTTGACTTCCACTGCCATTCGAACCTGACGAGGGCGGTGATGGAGTATGGGTTGAACGAGGGAGATGTGCATGATGTTATTAATCTGTTCCAGGTTACGGGTTTGGACGAGAAGGGAAGGTATTTTATGAGCCCGTGTCCGGCAAGCAAGGGGGATTTTGTGGAGTTTTTGGCGGAACAGGACGTTTTGATGGCGCTGAGTAGGGCTCCCTCCCCTTTGCTACTCTTTCCACTTGGCGTTGTGCTCTTCGATCATGACTTCTTGCTGACTTGGTATTGACACAGGCACTTGTCCTGGTGGCGACCTCTCGCTCTGGGGTTTCGGAAGCGATAACGAGAAAGAGATGATCAAGTGCTGCCGGCCGTTGAAGGTCGAGGTCTTCCGTCTGGAGGACGAGCAGCTACTTCAACGAAGTGGGTGGAAGCCAGCAGAAAAGGCAAATTATCGCGGTCGGCATGGGCTGGTTGTTGCGGAACGAAGCACAAGCAACAAGTGAAAGCAAGTCGAAGAGACGAGTTCCATGATATATCGGAAACACTTGATCATATCACAAGTCCAGTTGGAAACTCTGCTGCCTGGACTCCTCAGTGGCCTAGAGATCAACTCATACGACTCGGTGCACTCACCGGTCTGCATTCGACTTTGTCCATGATGTGAGTAACAAGCTCTTCTGCGCATAACTCCGATTATCTGATTGTATCACGTCGTCATGCTGTTGCTTGTTCCCCATCTTCTCTTAGAATAGCTTCAAAACTCCTTCTGATCACACGCCTATAGACTTACAGTGTGTAGGCATCTACGCCAGGCGTGTAATGGAAACGTTTCAGTTGCACTGACAGGGTTGAGTCAACTCCATGCCAAGAGACTATCACCAAGCCCCGAAACACAGCCATTGAGATGATAATGATTTACTTCACCAAGAAATCCGCTCTCAGCTCCAAGCGGCCTCCGACGGCTGTGCCAAAACGGGTAGTTCTTGGCTCTTCAGGGTTCTGTACTGTGTAATCGGGTCGAACCGATGACAGGTAAAAGACCACGATGATTGGCCGACTGTGGTAAGCTGTACAAGTAGAACCACCACTCGGCTCCTTCGATGCTACTTCAAACAATTGACATCTTTCATTGGCAGCACTGTTTCCAGCTACACAATAGGGCTGACATGTACCCACTGACATGCGCATTTGGGTTCAGTCTGTGCCTCTCTTCTCCCGTTCTGTACCATTCCACTGGATCGTTTCCGGTTACACCGACCTGATTGCTGGAACCGGATTTCCAGTTTGGCTACATACATCCCTGGCGGGTATCTGGTCCCGGCCGACCGTCATCGGCATTGTCATATTGCTATTTTGCAATTGTCCAATGATCGAACGTTCTTGCCCTCACCCAGATATCGACATCGCCACCTCTGAACCTGGATCCTTCCCCCCATGTGCCCGTGCCGCACATTGGCCATGTGTAGATGGCTATCATACCTCTCTCTACTCTGTAAACAGCTGCCTAGTTGGACGAAACAAAATTTGGACCACAAACTATACTACCTTGTGGTTTCAATGGCACGTTGCGGCGCTCTTGATCCTTGTCTCGACGGAGCTATCTCCTTAACCGTGGACTATCGGATGGACCGAGCACTTTGCCTGCAACACCAGATTGGTGTTAACTCCGAGTCATGGACTATCTACTA